GTTTTTGAAAGAAGCCTCTTTTATGCTGACCAAGGCTGCAGTTATTTGATTAAAAATACAGCAAAAACAGTAACACTGTGAAACATTTTTGCAATCTAAAATAACTGTTTTCTATTTTAATTTAGTTTAAAATGTAATTTATTCCTGTTATTGCAAAGCTGAATTTTCAGCAGCCATTACTCCAGTCTTCAGTGTCACATCATTCTTCAGAAATCATTCTAATATGCTTTGCTGCTTCAGAAAATGTTGTATTATCTTCATTGTTGAAAACAGTTGTGCTGCTTAACATTTTTGTAGAAAGCGTGATACAGGATTTATATTTATTTTTCATTTTTTTGATGAAAAGAGCATTCAAAAGAAAATTTATTTGAAATAGAAATCTTCTGTAACATTATAAATGTATTTACTGTTACTTTTGATCTATTTAATGCATCCTTGCTGAAAGTAGTGATTCATTTGATCGGTGCATTTTATTATAATGTTTCTACCTACCTATGTTAAATATTGATAATGAGACATCTAAAACAGTATCAGACTGAAATAACAAGCCGTCCGTTATAATTACAACCACAGCAGAAAATACGTTTCATTCATTTTAAAGTGAACTCATGTTTACAGCATAAATCATCATGGATGACAGAACTTGTTCTGTAATGGTTTAACAAATATTTATTCAGAGCTGAAGAATTTTCTCTTAAAAAGCTGTTATTCTCAAAGCAGAACTGATCAATTCAGAATGAAAATAACTTTAAGATTCCAATAAAAAAGTAGCATTCCCCATTTACATTTTCTCATTACAACACTTTTAATGCAAATTAAATATTTGCCTCAATACCTCAATCTCACAATCAATTAATATACAGACCCACAGACAAAATATCATAACATTACATATCATGAAAATTCACTGCTGTTGATTTTCACTAGTAATGACTACTAAAAGTATGTGTCATGTCATCCCTAGTCCTCAGCTCTCTCATGTGTTACCTGTGTAGTTGGGATGAAGTCCCTGCAGGTAAGGGAAGTACTGTGTGTCTTGTGTTGAACTGCTCACAGTTAAGAAGGCGGTCAGGTTGGTGTAGGTTGCATTAGAAGGAAGACTCAACGCTCTTCTCTGGAACTGCACCCATGGCTGCAGCTTTGAACCTACAGATGTAAACGCACACACACATACATAACACACACAAAAAGAAAAGATGGCAGATATAAGCAGACATTAGGTTAATGATTTGCCATCCATGACATAACACATGCAGCTCCATTCTTTCATCTCTCTCCCTCTCCTTCCAAATGGAATAGATCAGTAGCTGATGGAATGCTGGTATAGCAGCGTGTGTCTCTTGAGAGAGGTGATGTCATTATATTTCCATTGTGGCAGATCTCGCATACCATAGACATGAGACTAAGCTATAGCCCACATGGTCCTTAGTACCCCACTAAACTAACATAAAGACCCTCAGTACTAGGGGTGCACAATACACTACAGTTCAAATAGTTTGTGATCGGTAAAATAGTTTATGGTTTAAAATAGCTGATGTCTATCTTAATATATTGTAAAATGTTATTTATTGCTGTGATGGAAAAGCTGAATCACAGGTGCTTAAGAAACATTTCTCATCGTTATCCAGGTTTAAAACAGCTGTGCTGCTTAATATTTTTGTGGAAATGGTTATGGACAATTTTTTTCCCAGTAATCTTTGATGAATAGAAAGTTATAAAAGTTATAATAAAAAGTTAAAACAGAAAAAAAAATTAGAAATAGAAATCTTTTGTAACATTGAACATACATGTTTTACCGTCACAATGTAATGCATCCTTTCTGAATAAAAAAAAAAGCTATTTCTTAAAAAAAAGGTACCAGTAAAATACTATTAGCATTTACACAATAACAGCCGATACTGATATTTAATATTGCAGTATCACACTTAGTTCACCTTTGCTGCCATGTAACACTCACTTAAAGTTGATTTTAAAAACTGCAATAATTTAGTAACATCATTAAATGTAATCTTTAGCAAATCTCAAAATGAATATACATAGTATTCATATTTCATACTGTACATTATAATATTATGATTACTAAATTTACTTGTAGCATTTAAAACAATTGATTTTAGTGTTTAGTGCTTTATTTTTCATTTATTTAGACAAAATACTATACAGTAGAACTTTATTATCGGCCATTTATCCGTTATTGATCACCATGAAAAACATTATTGTTTCTCTGTCTCACTTAGACTTCTTTTTTTTTTAGCTACACCCTTCTCTTCAGAAGAGCTTTTTATGCACATCACACACACCTATAATGAAATATGAGAGGTGTTTTGTTTGAAAATGCTTTGGTGGACGGAGATGGGACCTCTAAGAGTTAGGTGATAGTGTGTGATAAATGTCCCCAAGTAGAGGATTACAATAGCAGATCTGTGGCACGTGTGCGTCTGAGGCTCTGGAAGTCTGTCAGTGTCCTCTGCTTTTGTTATAAGCGTGTGGTGTTTGAATGTTTTAGTGGACGGGATTGGGGCGACGCTCTGAGTGAGAGTGCAGTGTTAGTGTTCCCCTGAGACCCATAAACATGTTTCTCTCCTGACATATCACACACAAACACCGAGGGACAGGTTACCAAAAGAAAGAGGTTGCTAGGAGGAAGAGTAAAGCAAAACGGTAAGAAAAGAGCACATGTGGGTAACAGGGAGACAGAAAAAGGAGAAATGTGAAAGATTGGTTTGAAAAGCGAATTCTTCTCATTCTTGCTTTGTGTGTGTACGCGCGTGAGTGTGTATACAGCCTCTCATTTCAGTGTGCTATCACACTCACACAGAAAGCTTTAATTAGCATGAAATCTCATGAGCCACGTGGACAACAGACAGAATGATTCTCATTACACTTGCCACATGACACAGTTACCAAAACAATTCAATGGAAAAATTCATTAGCTTAAGTATTTGTCTTGTTTTCCAATAAAAATGTCTAAATATCCTTAAAACGGTATACATTTACTTGAGAAATCAGCATGGGATATGAAGACCTTCCAGAGAATATACACTAACATTAAAATGTTATGTTTTTAAAGAATGCTCACTCATTTTAAATAACTGTTTTCTGTTTTAGTGTATTTGAAAACATAATTTATTCCTGTGATGGCAAAGCCATTACTAGAGTGGCCATCCATCTTGGTTTTAGGTCAGATATTCCGGTTCGAAATTCCATGTGTGTCTACCGGATGCACATCTGACCTTTTAAGATCACTATTTTATCCTATATGCAAAGATATGTAAGAAATAAAAAAAGTTAATGTTTTTGAACTAATTCAGGCGAGTCAATAATTTGATAATTCATTCATACAGAGAGTTGTTAAATTTGAAACTGCATACTAGTATACTACTATTTTTAGCATATCTTTCTATGGCATGAATAGCAGGAGTAGTACACTGGTATGTGGTTCTGAAAACAGCAAGTCACTTGCTTCCTTCCTGAATGAATCAGCCGTTTTGAACTAATCGGATGAATGAGTGAATCAATGGATCACTCAGTGACTTGGTGAGTTTAGATTTATATTTAAAGTATCATTTCGCAGTTCTATTTTTAGTATATTTTACATGAACCTCGTAACATTATTTATGCAATTGTCACTGCAGTGTAAATGCATTTGTTTAATATCTAAACAGAATTTAACAACCTTTGTAAATACATCTACAGTAAATGCTACTTCAGATGCAACTTGTATTACACTTCTGGAGTGAAAAGATAGATTTTGTTGATATTGATTTCATTTGATTAATAACAGCCTTACAGTGTCTTATTATTCTAATTACATTTATTGAATCAGTATATAAATTTACATGAAAGATTACACATTTAATAAGGTTAGAAAATGTCCCCTTAAAAAGGTAAAAAACAAACAAACAAACAAACAAAAAGTCCCTGGAAATCCATTTAAGGAGGGAAATATTGTCCCTTAATGGAAATGTTTTTGTCACTGGTTTAGGATTATTTTTCAGTTTTTATCCTAGCTTGATGAATGCTGTAAAGTGCAGTGCCCTCCTTTGTGGTGTTATAGAAATGGCCACCCTAGCCATTACTCCAGTCTTCAGTGTCACATGATCCTTCAGAAATCATTTTAATATGCTGATGTGGTGCTCAAGAAACATTTCTTATTATTGTCAATGCATTACTATCAATTAAAAAATATTGATAATATTTTTTGTGAAAACTACACAGCATTTATTTGAAACAGATTTTTTTTCATAATGCAAAAATCTTACCTGTCAATAATTTAATGAATCTGTACTAAATAAAAGTATTACTAAAAATCTTACTGACCCCAGGTTTTTGAACAGTAGTGACTGTTAAAGGTTTTTTTTAACCCCTTTAACCATTTTTATATATAAAAAAAAAA